GAGGTCAGTCCTGGTATCAGTCAAGGAAAGGCATTACTGGAGCAGATTGCTGCCAGGGGAACAACTCCTCCAATGATGATCAGGGCAAGGTTACAGAAAAAGGTAGACAGATAGGGGACTAAATTATTAGAAAGACAGATAGGGAAATCTGTCACAAAGACCATGATCATCGAACAATATGTTGTTTATCGGGTGCTCAGGTTTGGCACATCATGAATCTGATGGACAGATTGTTCGGTAGGGCAGCAGAGAACCCAGCTGTCATGGTACATATTGGGACCAATGACAAAGTTAGAGGCATATAGAGATTCCTTAAAATTTCAGGGACAGAGCAATATTAAAAAGGCTCTCCAATGCATAATTACTGCCTGTTCCTGAAGTCACACCAGAGAGGCAGCAGGAGCTTAGTTAACTTACCAAATGGCTGAGATACTGGTGCAGGAAGGCTGGTTTTGGGTTCCTCGAGAACTGGGCTGACTTTTCAGTCTATTACCAACTCTATAGCAGAGATGGGCTGCACCTAAATGGGGAGAGTGCAGCTCTGTTGGGGGAGAAGATGGCCAAAAGGTTAGAGGAACTTTTAACCTAGGTAGTGGGGGGAGGGATCGATCAGAGAAAGCTATTCTAGGCAGAGAGTGAGGGTCAGAGGATTCTATTGTGGTCAGTTTTGAAGTTTAACTAGAGTACCTAAGACCAATGTGCATAGGCTGGCAGAATCCTATTGCAGTCCAGGTACACAAAAGGAGAAAATAATATCTGCTTGTACAAAACTAAAAAAGCATGTTCGCAAATTTTAAAATTTGGTGTGTAAAATGGAAGAACCTTAACTATTAATTCATGAGAAGGATTTGACTTTGTGGGAGTATCAGAAGCCTGCTTTGACAGCTCATATGACTGGCTTCAGACTGTTCAGGGGTATTCCCTGTATCGAAGGGATGGGGTAGGTAAGTGGGGAGGGGTGTCCATGTATGTCAAGAGTGATTTGCTAGTGAACATGAGGGATGACATTGCTAGTGTGGCATAGGATGATGTGGAATCCTTGCAACTGGAGCTTCAAAGGGAAAAAATAAATGGGGAAATTAATAATGGGTATATGCTACAGCCCCCTGTCCTTAAGGATAAAGAAGAGACTGATCTCTCACAGTTAGAAATGGTGGTGAGGCAGGACAATGGTATTATCATGGGGGACTTCAATTATCCAGGTACTGACTGGGCAGATGGAATTGCTCACTCATCTAAGGCTTGTCATTTCTTGAGTATCTTGCAGGACAATTTAATTTGTCTATTGGTGAATGCCCCAACTACAAATGAGGCTCTGCTTGGCATACTAATTACAAATAAAACAGAGCTGATTGTGGATGTGGAAGTAAGGGATAACTTGGGAAGTAGCAATGATAGGGTAGTTATGTTGACCAAAATCATAGGAAAAGGAGACATGAGGGTGGGAACATTAAATTTCAAAAAGCCAACTTTACTAAATTGCAGTCCATACTTCATGATATTAAATGAGAAGATGTTGTTTCAAGAGGCCATCCGTGAATGTCGCCTCCCCACATGCCCCCTGTGGCATGTGCCCAGCAAGCTCTGTGGTTGCTATGTCCTTCAAACACAGTTAATCACATAACGTGGTAAAGGGCCAATCACATTGGCCCTTTACCATGTGATCAGCTGTATCCAATCACAGCTGATCACAATCTAAACACACTTGCCGGTTATCAGCAATACTTTCCCCTCATGCATGAGGAGAGCAGAGCCAACAGCCGACAAGTGTGACAGGGGTATGTACACAGATGTCCTGATCAGTGCAGCCCCATCAGTGCCCCCTATCAGTGCCCATCAGTGCCGCCTATCAGTGCCACAAATCAGCACAGCTTCATTAGTGCTTCCTCATCAATGCCGCCTCATTGGTACAACCTCACCAATGCCCATAAGTGCAGCCTATCAGTGCAAACTATCAGTGCACATCAGTGAAGAAGAAAAATGACTTATTTGCAAAATTTTATTTTTTAACTTTTTAGGTCTTTTTTAATTTGTATAGCAAACAACAAAAACAGTGGTGAATAAATACCACCAAAAGAAAGCTCTATCTGTCCTAAAATAAAATCTAACAATGTCATGGGTACATGCTTTATTTTATGCTTTAATTTTTTTGCTGAGAAATCACTTTGTAAACCACCCCCCTAGCATTTCTAGCCGAGGTTATCTTACTGTAAGTAAAGGCAGATGATTCATGTAGCATTTACTTCCTGCAATCCATCTGCCCTTAGCTCATGCATTCAGGCATGAGGATGCGCTTAGCTGAGAAAAACCCTCCCCCCTTCCTGAAGATTCCTGGGATGTATGACATCATATGCCTAGTAACTGGTGAAATGTAAAAAAAAAAAAAAGTTTAGAACAAGTCAATATGATATAATTTCCTATCTATTTACTAATGCTAAGAGCATACGGATTAAAACAGTCAATGATGAGAGAGTGAAGTTTCACTTTAATTTACAAATTGAGGTCTGTCGGCATTAATTATAGCATATGCATCTGGATCGATAAAGATACAGGAGAGCATCCAAAGGGTGGTGATAAATAGTGTATCTTCTGAATGATCTGGAGATTTGAATGGGGTACCCCAGGATTCTGTCCTGGGACCAATTCTGTTTAACTTGTTCATAAATGATATAGAGGATGGAATAAGTAATTCAATCTCAGTGTTTGCTGATAATACAAAGCTAGGCAGGGCAATAACAACAGGATATACTAACTTTACAGGAAGACGTTCATATAATAAATGGGTGGACAACTAAATGGCAAATTAATTTTAATATTGAAAAATTTGAATTAATGCACTTATGGGCTAAAAATTAGACTGCAAGCTACTTGCTAGAGGGAGAACCTCTGGGGGAACAAAAGATGGAAGAGGATCTGGGGTTCCTAGCAGATCATAGGCTCAGTAATAACATGCAATGTCAAGTTGTAGCAAACAAGGCCAGCAGACTATTAGCATGCATAAGAAAGGGTATCTATACAAAATATAAAACTATAATTCTACCACTTTATAAAAACTCTGGCTTAGCCTTACCAACTATGTTTTCATTCAGGGAAAAGATCTGACTGTTTTGTGGGGTCAAGTAGGAGACTTTTCCAGTGGTTGCAGTTGGTTTAGGGAGTGTGATATGGAACGTTTCTGAGTGACCTCATCCCTTTGTATACTTAAGCTGCAGGAAAAATCAGGAATATTATTTGCTGCAAGGCAAGTGACAGGATTTGGCAAGTGTCAGCAAGAAGAAGGTTTTTTATTTTGTGCCGGTAGAAGGCCACCATTCATCATGATTGACATGGACCTGCATTGCTGGACAAAGTGATTAATGATTATCAAAAACTATGTTTGTGATTTCATTTATCATTTACTTTTTTGGTGAATGAGTAGGAGTACGATGTAACCCTTACTCATTCACATGGAGGGTGGGATCTGGAGGACCCTCAAAGTGCTTTCATAGGGGGTGCTTTTACTTGAAGGGCTTGGTATGGATTTTTGGAGGGAACCTATGCCTTTTTTGTTTTTTCTGGGTATCTCTAACCCCATACCAGACTCAACGGGCCTAGTATGAATTGTGGGGGGACCTCCATGCTGATTTTTTCTAATGTTTCTGTCCAGCTTCTTTATTTACATTGTGCTGTCAGTTGGGAATCCCCGGGTGACAGCAGAGATGAGTCATTGGTTTTTAGGACAATGGACAGGTGCCAACTCCCTGAAAACTGAGATCCAGTCTCCTTCTACCAAAAAACACAGTAGAAAAACATAAATGTGTCAAAAACATGTCAAAACACAACCAAGTCACACTATATAATCACAATGAAAACTGTTTCAAATCACAGCTCTACTATTGTGAACCTAGCCTTAAAAAAATGACAATAGATCTTGAAAATAATGTACAGAAATCTGCAGGAATTCAAAGGGTATCTAGATATCATCTAACCATGTAAATTTAATAGTAAAGATAAATTAGATAGATGAGAGTTCAGAGGCAGTTATCAGAGAGTATCACAATTCTTAAATACTCAGTTTAAATAAAGTATATACATTTCAGGCGCTGCAACACAAAAAGTGTGCGATGCCTTACAGCTTGCTTTCTTGAAAGGTCAGCCACTGCATAGTTAGAAAAGCCTGTCCCTTTGGTCTTAGTGGACAAACAGTGGACTCATTGCAGGAGTCCAACACTTCCCTCTCTGTGCCAGAACTATAGCTCTGAAAAAACATTGTGTTCCCTGCTGATTTGGGGGATCTGGCTCTGATTTAATCTGGAAAGTTTTATACTTCTGCAAATACTGTAGTTCACTGCTTACTCACAGGCAGCAAGGGTCCAACAGAACATAGGCTTTTCTACTCAAGCTGTTGCTGACATTTCAGGAGAATGTAAGGCATTGCACACTTTTTGCCTGGATGCAATTTAGCTGATTTAAACTGAAGGCTTCAATGGACTATAAGGTCACTGTAGCCTTTCTGGGGTTTCCTGACTAAGATGTAATGCCTTTATGTTGTTGGGTAAATAATAAATAAGTTATTTCCATAAATGTAGAGAGGCTTGATGTAGCAGAAAGCTGTCAAAGATACCAAATAAATGTTGCATATTTGTACCTACATTTTTAAAGATTTCCCTTTTATTTCATAATTTTTTCATTCTGGTATGCAATTTCATTGTAGTGTTTGTTGTTAGCTTTTTAAAATTTGAAAATCATATTTAAAATATAATTAAATGTATATATTATAAATAATTTTGATTTTTAGAGCTAGATTCATCTGTTAGAAGATTTATATTTGCATTGTGGTATTTGCTGAAAGCATATTTAAAATATAATTAAATGTGTAAAATATATTCGTTCCTATTCGTTTCTTTGTTCTTTAAGGTGGATAGGTTAGAGCCCCTGTTAATGTTTTATTGCCATCTGTGTCCCTGAGATAGATTTCACCTTTCTCCTGGCCCAGGTGACAGGTGTCAGACAGAACAAGAAAAAAAGACAAATGTCCACTATGGTAGCATTGAAAGCATTTAAAATCTGGCAAACAAAATCTCCTAAATGCTAAACTAAAAAAAAAAACAAAAAACAAAAGTTCAATGGAAGTTGAGCTTTAATCTTCAAAGCAGTAATAACAGATACATACTATACCTTGTGGTTTAAAGTGCACTAATATTAGTTAAGGACTTTCAAGAATTAGATGAAGTAGCAGATTGAGTGTTTTTTTGCACAAGAAAAACGAAGTACATGTTTAACAACAAAGATGAATACACAAATTCTATAATTAACAGTTCCAGAATCAGTTGGCATATCAGTGAGAGAGTGCCAAACTTCAAATGCCTTGGATTGTACATGTCAGCAAAGATAAAATAAAAACAAATTTAAGATCAAGGCTAAGTTAACAGCAGTCAGAATGAAATTGCACAAGGTGCAATTTAATATAACAACAATGATTATGCATTGTTTAGAAATGAGAGTTCTGAAAATTTGATGGAAATTCTTTAAACATAATTATTTCAGATGTTAAAGAAAATACTTAAACCAAATACAGTATTAATGTATAGGGTTACAGAAAAAAATAACTCCATCAATACGTTTGAATATGAAGAGATAAAATAAACTTGAAAGTACTTCTCCTCTTTGTGCATATGTAGGGGTTAGCACCTCTCGCTATGCAAAAGTGTGATCCATGAGCTATGACTTTATGGATAACCAATAGCTAAAACCATTAGTTAACTTTTAAACAACGTATTTTTACAAAAGGTCTTACATTTGATTTGGGATTTGATAACAGTTTCATTTTGGTGCATTTGCTGTGTCATGGGTTTCAAGATGAGTAAACATAACAGAAAGTTTCTTTTAAAGGTACTTTCCCATCAAATTGAAAAAAATTAGAGTTAGAATACATACAGGAAACACCTACTTTCCTTAGGGCTTTTATTAATCTGGCATCAGACCAAGACATGCTTTAAAGTCCCCTTGTTTACAGTAGTTTCAGTCCTGCACAGCACATGTGAGGATCTCACAGAATTACAGCTGTGATAAATAGAGATGAGCTTAAGGTTTGGTTCAAACACAAGAACAAAACTTTGACTGTTTGGTCATTTACCTATTTGGCGGGAGCTGACTGTTATGTATAATAGTGATATTATTTCCGTTATTACACATGACAGCTTCCCGCTGTTAATGGTTGTTAAGGACACTGGTGGGTGCAGACACTGCCGAGTACATATCAATCAGTGACTTTACTGGTTGTTAAAAGGAAAGTTAAATTGAGTTTTTCTAAGTTAGTTAATGTGGGATGTTGTTAAAACCATTTTATTTATGCTAGCCTGTTGAGAAAAAATATGAAAACTAAAATAAATAGGCACATCATCCAAATGTGCAGTTACCCAGATTGCTATACTCTATGTAGCTGACATGAAACATATTTTTTTTTCTTTTGTAAACTGTGTGTTTGCAAGAACTCAGATGCTCCTGGATCTTATCCACTGTGTCATTTCACCAGAGAAATAAATAATGGTGATCCGGTAATAACAGTTCTTTTCTATCACTTGCAGATAGCCTTGTTAGTAATTGTTCTCTAGCATGTACAGGATGTTACTATGAGCTGTGATCCAATAATTTGTCCTGACAAGCCCAGGTGCTGTTCCTGCCTCCATCATGGTTTAAAGGCTGCTAAGTGAAAGAGAAGTTTATTGTCTTATTGTTCTTTTAGAAAACAAAACCATGACTGGCTTACTTGTTAATCATCCCCATTATTGATTTATATTGAAGAACAAAAAATATACAGATGATCAATCAAAATCCAGTTAAAAATATTAGATTCTTTGATTAAGTATCCAGTAGAAGAACAATTGTTGAACTCAGTGGTACACCTATGAGGGAGTATAGACAACAACCCCCATCACCCATAGTTACCATTCCTTCTCTGCACCCACATTGAACTGCAAAATTATTTTGTCTAGAACTAAAATCCAATTATTAATACAATGCCAGTGACTAACATGCTTACTGGAGGTCAGCTGTTGTCTTTTCATTTCAATATAGCTACTGAATATTACATTAAAATTAGCAGAAAGTTCACATGGCTCAATTACTGTTTGAAGCAGAGTGCAGGTGTGTCAAGCACTCAAAGTTAAAGGTTGCAGGATCTTATTGTTATATATCTCCTTGAAGATAACCTAGAAATATGAAAAGCTGTAGGGATACACCGTACACTGGCCACTTATTGGTAGGCCATACAGAGCAGTACTGGGAACCTTTGACCTGTGAGGCAAATACAACAAATTTAATATTAGGTAAAGATTTATGGTGGCTAAGGAAGGTGTACCATGCAAAGTTTGCAATGGTGCCAAATTAATAAATGGGCAAATGAAAGGTTTGTATTCCTGAAAAATATGGTTTGTGACATACATTTTCTTCCAGTATCATTTTCTTTTGTTTAAATAACATCTCAACATTGAAAAGGAAATTGGTGCCTTAAGATGGCTATCTAATGCCCAATATGTTTTACTTTGGATCCCACCAATAATCGATGTCTACATGGGAAAATATTTTCACTCAAGGAAACCAGCCCAACATATCCTATTGGTACTTGCTCAGAGAGCAAATGCACCCGCAGCCCAGTCCTTCCCCATTTTTTTTATCTTGCAATAAAATTTTTATTCAAATTAGTTCATAACATACATGTAAACATACTGTAGGTGTCCAAAGATACATTAAATGCAATGGCGTTAAACAATCTGCACCCAAACTAGAGATGAACAATGGAGTGCAATTAGTTTACAGAAACATGGAAAGAAATATCAGGATGATTGAAACCAACCATTTTCATTACAAGTTAAAAAAAGAGGGCAAAGAGTACGACTGCCTTTAATCCTAATTAAGAGTTTTAAAGGATTATTATGTGGTGCTATATTTGATCTTATGTAAAAATGGAAGTGGCAAGAAACAGAAATTAAAGTATTAAAGAAAATTAAAGGTTAGCACAGGTTACCATGCACAGGTTATGTGCCATACAGAAGATATCAGGGATCATCTGTGGGTCTTTCAAAAAAATGTAAAACTGTAAAAGAGGAGTTGTAAGTAAGTCAGCAAAGTTCTTATAATAGTGTGCTGTGCAGCCATTTGGGTCCAGACTTTTTCCAGGTTTTAAGGTCTTAATGGCTAGCAAATGTTATTTCTCAGTAATAGGTTGTTCCAGGGATTCTCATTCAGAAAGGTGTCAATGTGAACATGCCACTCTGACAGATACATCTGTACAATGTGTGTTCTACTCCCTTTTGATTCAATTTTTTTTTTTTACTATTTTTATGTTTAGCGCCTAAGCTAATGAGTCCCCCTTAAATACACATTTATTTGCTCAAACTGTCAGGGGGGAGTTGTAATCCATAGAGTTGTAAACAAAGTATGACTGTATTGCCTCCTTGGTATGCTGAAGTGTCATGGGGTCCATTAGTAGAAAAGGATGTAGTCTCCAATTGCATGGTTTAAATTAAGTGGATGGGAATTTCAATGAAATGGACACTGGTGCATGGTCAGAAATAGCTTGAATTCCCACATCCTCAAAGTGGCAAATCCCTTGGAGAAATAAAGATATAATCAATGCTGAAATATTTATTATGTGACACAGAGTAAGAAGTAATGTCTTTTTCCCAAGGGGTGTACTGTGCACCAAGAGTCAAGCAAGGTTAAAGAACCCTAAAAGGGTCTTGAGCCTTTTAACCACTTCCCGACTGGCCGTTGCATATAAAAACGGCCGGCGGTGGCACTGCAGGGTCAGGTGGCCGTTTATAAACGGCCTCCCCGCACCCTGCTTGTGCTCACTCCCTGGGAGCGTGCAGCACCACGATCCGGTGCCCGCTCTGTCCTCCGGACACAGTGGAACACCGATCATCGGACGGACCTCTGTACGAGATCCCAATCAGGTGATCACTGATTGGCCAATCAGTGATCACATGCAGAGTAGTAAGCAAGATGTCACTTCTGACATAATTGCTTGCTATGTGTGAAATCTGTGAATGATCACAGAGGTCACATGGTACAAGGCTATTCACATCACCCTTGTACCATGTGACAAGCCGTGACCAATCACAGCTCACTCAGCAGTTCTCAATGGCTGCAAGAATGCAGAGAAAAAGAGAAATGATTGTTTTTACATCCTATATGGGTATAAAAGCAATCAGTGTAAAAAAAAAAAAAAATCTTCATCACCCCCAAAAAGTAGTGCAGTGTCACCATGGTGACACTGTACTGCTAGGGTGACAGTATGTTAAAAAAAAATAATAAAAATAAAATAAATAATATAAAAAAAAATAAAAATGTAAAAAAAAAAAATGTTTAGAAATTATAATTTTTGAAAATTGCCCTGGTCAGGAAGAGGGTAAAAGTGTCCGGACTGGAAGTGGTTAAGAATTGTAAAAGTAATGATAGATTTACCATTAGAAGTATCTTGAAGGTTGTTCAAGGGGACGTTAAAATGAACCCCATAGCAAACCCGTTCAGTTATTCTACCACCTGACAACAAAATAAAATGTGTGCTGAATTTGGAAAATATACAATTGCCAGTGTAATGGGCATGTTAGGCATCATTCCTTTGACAAAAAGGAATCTGCCATTAGAATCTGTCGGATGCTGAGTAACCTCAAACTCAGATTTTTCTATGAGTATACAGTTGTGTCCAAAATTATTCAACCCCCACTGAAATTGAGTGTTTTGGCCAGTTTGACATTGCTTTTGATCATTCAGTCATCTTGCTTACATTTACATTAAAGAGGCACTTGTAGGTCAGACAAATATAACATAACAGTTATAATGAAATAACCACAAATGTCTTTTCTGTGCTCACAGCATTATCAGTTTTATTCAACCCCCAAGTGACATTCAATCTTAGTACTTAGTACAGCATCCTTTTACAGTTATAACAGCTTTTAAACGTGAAGCATAGCTTGACACAAGTGTCTTGCAGCGATCTACGGGTATCTTCGCCCATTCTTCATGGGCAAAGGCCTCCAG